CGTCTACGAATGTTCGTCTAGCTCAGAGTTCCCCAAACTTTTTTGTGTCGTAGACCCCTTGCCATGTTTTTCCGTGTTGGGTAGACCCCCTACTTACGTGATATTGATTTCCTGTAAATTTCTAACTGTAGTGAAGTTTAGTGTTAAAAACTTAAAGTAAAAACACATGTTAATAATTTATACATTTATTAATTGAATTTAAATTAAAACTACTCAAAATAAAATTTTGTATCTGTAAAATATACGTAACATTAAATAAACAGGTGTCTGACCAATAAGTGCCCGCATTGAAAAAAAAATAAGAGGGATAAAATAAAAAAAAAGTGAAAAATAATAGAAAAAAGTTTTTTACTTAAAATAGCGAGTTTGTTTATTAATTATAACATAAACGTATGTTCTACAATAGTTTCACTGTTAGTTTGATTAAATTCCGCTTCTTATACATTTAAGTTATCTAAAAATAGGCAAAAAATTAACGAATTTTAGTGTGTACCTATCCTTGAACTTTCAGAATAATTAAAAAAAAAATATTTTCTATAAAGGGGGGTTCTTTAAAAAAATCAATGCGGGCACTTATTCCCAATGCGGGCATTTATTGGTCAGACACCAATAAACATAAAGTAAACTATAAATAAAATAACATAAGCAATAAGTCAATATTTTTAGTGAGAAGGATGAACCTGATGCTTTAATAATAAATTATCAACATTTGGCGTCAATTTTGTAAGGGTTAATCTTAGATCTCCTCGGCTAATGATGTCCAGTCTGTTTCTTTTTTTTGTTAGGAGATTGGTAACAGCGCTGAACCCCCTTTCCACTAGGTATGACGATGGAAAGGAAATTAAAAATTTCCTCGCTATATTCCATAATACGGGATAAGTAACGGGCATGTTGTTTTGCAGCCAGAATTGCTCATATCCGTTTTTAAACTGAACCTTAAGTTCTTCGTTTGTACTTAGTTCAGTCAGATCCTCTTGTATTATGACATTCGTTTCTTCTATGTCACCATATGGATTAATTATCCACGGTGGTATTACCATAGTCAAAATATCCTCAAACCTAGATTCAAAATCGGAATAGGGCATTTAAATGTTGAACGTAAGTTGAAACTTCGTCTTCCTGGCAGCTTGTCTGTGACAAATTGGGGAACTGAGAAAATTCGCCCCGTCCAATATTTTGCTTCATTAGTTTAACTCTGGCAAGAAACGGTGATAAGATGGACTTTGTTTTAATCAAATTTAAACTGTCGCCTTGTAATTGCATTAACCATTTCCTCTTCATTAAATTTTCTTTTAAAATTTTAACTTTAGTATCCAGAAATTCTAAAATAGTCTCAAAAAGTGCAAAAAATCTTGTCAAACATAAGCCTTTCGACAGCCAGCGTACTTCAGTGTGAAGGGGTAATTGATGAAAGAGTTCGTCATTTTCTTCACACAACTGCGCAAATAACCGCATATTCAACGCGTTGCTTCGGATTCGGTTTACTGCATCAATGACTAAATGAAGTGATTCATGAAATCTAACACTCAAATTTTTAGCAACTAAATGTTGTCGATGGATGACGCAATGTATTGCTAACACCCCTGACACATTTTGTTTTAAATAGCTTATAAATCCACGATAACGTCCAACCATGGCAGGTGCTCCATCTGTAGCTACTGATATTATATTTGATAAAGGAATTGCTTTTTCAATGAAGTAATCCTTCAAAACATGAAATATTGATTCACCTTTAGTGTCGGTTATCAAAGGTCTTGCGAAGAGCAGTTCTTCGTAGATTTCTTGATTCATAATAAAACGAACATATGCCAATAATAATGCTGCATTATCAGGTAAAGTTGACTCGTCCAGTTGTATAGAGAAATGGGTCGTTTGCAAATAATTACATAAGAAGCTTTCAATATCAGAACTCATTTCATCAATACGTCTTTCAACAGTATTGTTGCTCAAGGGAATTCTTTTAATGATATCAGATGCAGGTTTGTGTAAAACAGTTTTTAAAACCTCTTCAATGGCTGGCAAAATTAACTTCTCTCCGATAGTATGCGGTTTTCCGGATTTAGCTATAAGTAACGAGATATTGTAAGACGCCCGCAAACCATCATCATTTCTTTGTGACGGCGAAGCGAACATTCTGTCCAGTGTAGGTCTCTTCTGAAATTTATCTTTGAGTGTTTAAAAGTATTTCAAATCTTTCTCTATTTTATCATGGTGGCATCTTCTCAGATGATCTTGCAGTTTAGATGGTTTCATAGCGTCATTGCCCAAAACTTTGTTGCATAAAAGGCACATAGGCGATTGTTTGTCCGGCAATGATGGAATGAAGCCAAATTTCAAATAATTAACACTGTACTGTCTACATTTCTTTTTAGATTCGGACATGGCATCAGTCATCTGTGGGCAAAATTAAATTATTTAAATAAGACAGAAAATCCAGCAGCTGTATATTAAAAATATTTTTTGATTTTTCCGAAAACATTCCATAATTTGAACATCTTCTTGCAACAAATAGCTCGAATTACGGAGATTGCACTGTAATTATATTACTCATTGCTAAAACTTTCAAAAAGAAACTATTGAGGAGTATTCGTGTAATTTGGCATGATTGAATATTTAACAACTAATAACTAAATTCATGATTGGCGTAATTTATCTATCTTTCTCTACTAGTACAAAACTAAAATTTAATAAAAGATAATGTATTTACTTTTCTCCAGCACTCTCAAACAAAATAACACTGACTCACTATAATTTGTGTGATATACTATTATATTTATATTTTTTAAAATATTTTCTTAGCACTTTCCTTTTCAAGATTCAGGAAACGAATAAACGTATTTGTCCCACATTCGTATTTATAGAGTGACGAATTGAACAAGTCAGTGCAAGGTAGCGAAGCTCTGAGACTACGACTCTCAGGTTTTTACGAGTTCAAAATGTATTGCGACCACAAAGCGAATACCAACATCCTACAACTTACACAATTTTATAAACATATATAATAAATGTTTTACTTCATAGGTACTTTTATAAATAATGTATATGTTTTGATATTATAAGATAGTATGATGTAAGTAAATAGGTGCTATCAGTGTATGTGTTGAGATCCACTATCGTGGACCCCCATATTCATTTCATGGACCCCCAAATTTTTTTTCGCTGACGTAGACCCCTTGCAGGTTGTCATAGACCCCTAGGGGTCGATATAGACCACTTTGGGAATCAATGGTCTAGCTAAATGCGCCTTGCCTCTTCAGAATTGCAAATGAGCCTCTCCGTAAATAATAAGCATGTCGTGATACTCGCGTACCGAAAACATCTCTTTCGTATCAAAATGCACACACTGATACCGTAATACATACTGAATAATAAAATGTGAGAGAAACTATCAAATAATTTCTTCCCGATGTAGGCTGTATTTATTTTTTTGCCTACCAACACCATGTTGATCGTGGGCAATACGCGATGTGACATGCAGTGCAGGTGGAGTACGACGTGGCCAGTTGTGTGAGGCATTTTGTTTGTCTGTTTTTACCCTCGGAAAATTGTATTTAATAACCAAGAAAATTATTTTTAAGAGACAGTTAATTAATAAATATATTATTGATACATTTTACGCTATGAGGCATATGAATTTAAATTATTGAGGTGCCACATTAATTTATTTCATGACTAAAAAGAAACAAGTTTAGAATTTTTTTGCTCCGAGATGGTTGATTTTCGGAAATAGGTTATAATGAAATTTTTTGCTTACAATAATGCAAGGAATCACCTCTTAAAGTTACGAACATTATTTCCATAACACCCTGTATAGGAGCCACTCCAGAGTGCAGGGCTCATCTCAAAAAATCGCAGTCATGGATTCTAGTTATATAGTTAAAAATCTACGGTTCCCTTTCTCCTTACGCCATATTGGAAGGGGTGAAAATAATCCCAAAGTCACTAAATCGGAAAACGTCCGTACACCTATAGCGTCCAGAGTCTTTGAGATTTGGTCATGATAGTATTTTTTTTCTAAGTTGCGTTTTCTCTGGTGCATAATTAAAACCACAGATATAACATTATTGACCACAAAGTAAACGACGGGAGGAGAGTCAACCATATCATCATGTTAGAAGTTCACCACCAGACTCCTGATCAAAACCGTCGCAGCTGTGGATTGGAAATTGTGAACTAGAAAGTGTACAAAAAATATCATCGGTAGTTTAAGCCCATCCGTCTTTCTAAAAGCCGCTCTATACTCACGTGAGAATCTCGCCGATAATCTCGGCAAGAATCTCGGCGAGAACATCCTTAGGACCATATTCGCAAGGTTCTCAATACAGTTCTCGTGATGAACACAGAATTAAATGTCGTTGACACCAGCACTAGATTTTTCCGGTTTCTTGACTTTATTTTCATACCCTCTATAGCTGGCTAATAATGATTTTTTTTGCTTTTAAATTCTTCAATAGGTGATTCCATCAATGTACTAATACGGTTCCACGCATCGTGGGATTTTAGTTTATTTTTATATTCTTTTAAATTTGTATTACACAAAATCGGTTCTGCTTGAAATTATTCTAAGAATGCCAATTCTAGTTCGTTCGTCCCAATCCGCCTCATATTGATGCTCAGTAGTAACGCATAACTGTTCTAATCGGCGAGTCACCTGCCACTGAGAAACATGCGAGTGTGGAATCAATACAAGTTCTCGCCTGTTCTCGCGATCTCAGCTCTTTTGACTCGCGCCCAAAAAACCGACAAAAATCGGAGAACAAGTCGAGAACCTGCGACGATGTTGAAAATCGGTTCCACATTCCTCATGTTTTCTTCGCTTTCACGCGACATTCTCTTTTATACTGATCTTATGTTTACATCCACGTAGCACTGTACAGAGCAAGCGAACAGAAAAGAAGTTTTCTGCGATTAATTTTTTTTGAAGAGGTTTTAAATAACGCATGAAATTTCCAGTCAATCATTAACCAGACTGGTCGCTTGATATATATTTCTTTTTTCAGATGAGAATGAAACGCGGTGCTACGACGAGTTGGGCTGTCTCAACATCACAAGGTCCTGGTATCACCTGATACATAGGCCATTCAATGTTTTTCCATTGCCCAGATCTGTGATAAATACTAGATTCATATTGTACACTAGACTTAATCCAACTGAGGTAGGTTTAAGTTAATAGATACAGGGCTGGCTATAATAGTACAATCTAGTATCAGGAACGATCGTTTATTCCGTTTTGTGATTTTATTTTCTGTGATAATAATTTCTACTTTTTGGAGAGTGACTAGTGTGAAATTTTTACGTAAGCACATAAACATACACATGCCCAAGTGTTACCAATCTTGTGTCCGCATTAAATTAAAGGCTATTTATGACCTGATCGCCCTAATTATTGTTTAACTTTTTTTTGTCGAACAACATATCATTTCTACAAGATCTCAGAGATTTCAAATACGAGACAGAAGATCCGGAGCAAACATTTTTATTCTAAAGGGTGGGCCATCCGTTGATTTCTTTTTTTTAATTGGTATTAAAACTAAACTCTTCACTAGTAAAACTCGATACTTTATACAAAAGAATACACCTTCCGATTATTTATAAAAACAATTTCAGTTAAATGTCTGCCGCAGCTGAAGTCCATCCCCTTAACCCAATTTTGAAGCACATTTTCGATAGTTTGTGGGTCTATTTCATCAATAGCCCGACGGATATTATCCTTAAGAACATCAATTGTTTTTTAATGTAACAGTGGTCCTTATCAGTACCCCATAGGAAGTAATCCATGGGCGTCAAATCACAGCTGCGGGCTGGCCAATGAACGTCTCGAAAACGGCGATGACCGAACTTAGTGTGTAAAAGATCGATTTTTTCACGGCTGGTGTGACATGTTGCGCCATCCTGCTGGAACCAGAGATTGTGTAAGTGCATGTCGTCTAATAGTGGCCACAAAGAACTCCTCAACATGTCTTTATAGCGTTCCCCGTTTACTCTCACGCTGTTACCATCTTCATCTTGAAAAAAGTAGGGACCAATAATCCCTCCACTCCAAAAGCCACACCAGAAAGTTACTCTTTTTGGATGCATTGGTTTTTCTATGACGACATGTGGATTTTCAGAACCCCAAATCCTACAGTTCTGCTTGTTAACGTAACCTCCCAGAGAGAAATGGGCTTCGTCCGAAAAGATGATTTAGCGACCAAAATTGACGTCCGTTTCCAATTGATTTAGAGCCCACACGGAGAAACGATATCGAATCGGATGTTCATTTTGTTTCAACTCTTGCACAAGTTGCACCTTGTAAGGGAATATTCTCAGGTCGCTCTGCAATATTCTCCGCAGAAAAGTGCGACTGATGCCCATTTGTTGTGCTCTGTGACGAGTTGACATTCCTGCATTTTCACGCACACTCTGGACAACAGCAGCAATGTTTTCGGGTGTACGTATGGGTCGAACAAGCTCATACCTTCTGTTATCCATAAGCAGGCCAGTTTCACGAATTTTCGTATACCAGTCGCGGACGGAGCTTCATTCTGACCAAATAGTCTTCTCAATTTCTGCAACACGCCACTCACTTTGACAATAGTTATTCAATGTTTCCCACCTTTGTTCAAGATTAAAACGATCCATTGCTCATAGCGGAAGGTTGACACAATATATATGTCAATATGTTGAGCATGGAAGTGTTACCAACTGTCAAAATAATACCAACTTAAAGAAAACAGCTGATGCCCACCCTTTATATGATTTTCTGATTTGGTTAAAAGTCCTACTGGGCAGGAAATGCATCCAATAATTTCAAAGTATATATATATAGGTACATATTGAATAACGAGGAAATAACATTTGACTGAGATTTTGTTATAATTTTTGTGAGCAATATGCCTAGGTCACAATTATTTCAACTTTCACAACTGTTTTCAACAGAATTTTAGAATTATAATTAAGGCTGTGATTAAGGTGTGATTTATTAATTATGACAGGAAATAGCTGAAAGATATAATCATTTTAATTTTCTTCGACAACATGGAAGCTGATTCAAACCACTCATTTCTTTAAATATCGGTAAAATTTTATAATTATTATGGTCTTGGAAACCAGATGCTCTTATACAGGTCCGGACTCGCGAAGTAAGGTACCACAACACAATCACGTTCTATCGCCACAGCAGTAACATACCAACCAAATACTGACGATCCTTTAATGCTCGTCTTTTTGATAGATGAAAAATACAGTAGATAACTCATGTGCGCATACCACAGAATGGGATGCTCGTCTGCTCGGATAGTTTGCGTTCAACTGTTATTATTTCATGGCCACTTGATGTCGTATAACTTTACCTGTTTTCTATACTATTATAGATAAACATATTTGAGATGTCCAAGGATTCGGGAATCTATCTCTTAAATTGAACGTAAACGCTTATCCTAGTAGGCAGTTAATGGCTATCCAGCGTGGTTCTTCGTACAGAAAAAAAATACCTGGGTTATAATGCGTTATAAGCGTTAAATGTCTCCAGATATTTTGGCATTCATTTTTTTAATATTAATATGCCTTGCCTTTTCATGCGTTTTGACTACTATGTCTAGTTAAGCATTTTAAAAATGGTCTACTGAATTTATTTTTTCGGATTTAAGTATTTGTAAACTATATTTAGCTTAGCCCGGCTCTGTTTATTTGGAGTTCTAGACACATATGTGATCATTTCTGCTCATAAAAGTGAAACTTAGTTATGCGAGCATTTGTATGCTCCTTTCGATTCCGATACCCGATTTTATGGTTTTTCTCTTGTTTCAGGGCCAGTTTATTAAAGCGAATAATCAATCAATAGAAAAATCCAACCTGGACATTAAGAAGAAAATCAAATTCATCATACATGGATTTATTGATACACCACTTTCAAATTGGGTAAGATTTCAGTTACGAAAAGAAAATTGTTGAATGTTAGCAAGCTGAAATTCGGGGTTACGAAACTGATGCAACAATACTATATTTTAGTGTGAAAGGGGTAAATGAAAATAGCGGCTGAGCCCTATCCTGTAACATTTTTTTTAATTGAATATATATAACTCGAACATAAAACCGCTATCTATCAAGATGACGGGCTTCCAGGCGATCAAAGTTGTGCGTTCTTGAACGTTGGATCGCTTATACCTGAACATCCAATCATCAAATCGCTATAGTATTTATAGTATGTTATTTATATCAGTATATTCGGATATATCCTTCTAAAAAAAGTTTGATGTAACAAACTATAGTGTTTTAATGACTGGTTGTTGAGCTTTAAGCGATTGAGCGCACAAGCTCAGCGCCCAACTGCCATCTCGAAAATAAAAAATGGCTTCAAGTAGGTGACTCTACACTTCCCACGCAACGCCATCATTGGTTCATAAAGGATTATGTTTATCACAAGTTAGACACATCCAAATAATACACCTTTATCCTGGATTGAGGATAGTTACTATGATTTCGTTGCTTTTCCCAGAGACTAAGCGTAGACCATGCTGAAGCATTGCCAGACAAATACGAAAGAGCTGTATGTGGTAGGCTGTTATTGGTTGGACGTACTAAACCAGCATGGTTAAGCTAATAACAGAGAAATTAAACGCATCAGGTCCGTCAATCAGGACTACAGAATTAGTCCATAGCATCGTTTCCCTACCTTACTCGTAGTACCGCCCATTTGACAACGTCGCGTTGCCTCTCCCCAATATCTGAAAGTATGATGAGTCACATGTGTCAGATTGCCCACAGATTACCAGGCGCAGGAACGCTTGTCGAAAAAATGTTTCTATCGTTTTAAGGGCAAATCTATGATGTGTGAAACATGTCCAATAGGTCCGTAGAGCTATCGAGATTGGATGTGTATTAATACACTAACATGAAAAAATTGCGAGACACCCTCTCCCACCTTTCAAAAATGATAGGTATCCTCCAAAACTTCATAAAATGAAGTTTGGGCATTTTTCTTTTTCGTTTTCGGGCTCCCTCTTCGCCGCCACAAGGACGATTTTCAAAAACTCGTCCTTGACATGGTAGTAAGCTCTTGTGGAAATTTCATCAAAATCCGGCCGGTAGTCCAAGTTATAGGCAGACAGACCGACGGAATTTTTTTTTCGTGTCATACATCTAACATCCAATAAACATAATACCTCATTCCCATACAGCCTCCACATACGTTGACATAGTATATCTAATAACCATTGAAAAAGCGAAAAAACACGGAGGCGGTATAAAGCTGCGCCTATAGATAGGCGGTACATCAGAGCATGAGAACAGCTGTCCAGTCCAGTGTATCGCGACGACGACTGGAGTACTTACGCAAAACAATGAAAACTGATATTTCGATGGTTCACTGATGCCAGGACATTATTTTTGAAGCTCCATGCGCCGCGTCATGTGCCAGCATATGCACTAGAAATGGAAACGGTCTGCAATATGTTGCTGCACAAGCACCGGGGACAAAGCTGCGGCGCGCAACATGCGCCGCGGCATGTATCGCAACATTCTGCACCCCGTTTCCATTTCTAGCACACGCACCCAAAAATTTCGCACGGACAAAATGTGGTGGAGCATGATCTGCAACATGCGCTCCTGCCTGCAATTTACTTAAATGGAAACGCACCTTGACAAATCGTATGTTTGTCTAGTTTGAGAGATATTTTATAGAAAATCGACTATATTCATTAGATCCATCAAAAATTCCTTCTGATTTGTGGAATTTTCGGCCTAGGCATACATTTTTTATGCATCGGGTCAATAGTAAAATTGGGCCTAAATTATACAATATTTCATTTTTTGACTGGAGTGATAAAACAAGTATAAAATCAAAAATCACACATTTGGAATCAGAAAATCATTTAGAATAAAAATAGACAGTCTGTGTCATTTGAAAAATACAACTTCATTCGATAGCACTTTTCTTAGACACAAACCAAAAAGGCATCATCAAAAAACTTCATGTCAAACCTTACACCTTTCATTCTCCTGAAAAGTCGCATAGACCATAGTTACCTGGGTTCACATTATGTCTTTACAATGTTGCAACCATCACTACTTACCTTCCTTTCCCTAGAGCGTGACCACATCTGATTACATCCACCTTCACAGCTAGCGCATGATCCAATAAAAAATACGATGTGGCAGCACCCAGTCTATAACAACCGTAATAAATGTTGTTGTTGATGCAGTCACTCGAACACAAACCACTCTATCTACCTGGTATCTATCTAGATGAAATGCGGAAAAAGAAAGTCATTCATCTGCATTCCTGCCTATAGAAAGGATACTGGGTATCAAGTAGATGCTGGATGCTCTACTTCCAATTAACGAAAGTGCAAACAGTCCTGTATATGTGCCGTTTTTGCCACAACAGGAAACCAAACATTTATTATGTGTAATAAAAGATTTTACTTTACTTCTAGAAACAAATTGACGTTTGTAGGTATATTAATTATAACACGGACATGAATTTAAGACGCACTTGCAGGTCGCAATTTCCAGTTTGCTGCCTGTTGCTGTTACGTGACAATGGACGCCCTTGTGAAAAAAACATATTCAATATATGGCGAACAAAACGTGTCCCATCCCATCCCATAAACTAGTGGGTATACAAGGAAATGTACAAAAGTTTCCTGGTTTAAATTATTTTATGTCTTGTATTTTTGTACACGAGATCTGTAAATTAAGTAATGAGACTGGCAACGTAGCATTCGATCTGGCAACACTGGAGGCGCTAGGCTTGGAGGGGGGACAGAAAACATGTGATCCGCCTTCAGCACAAGTTTGAAATCGCTCGAGTCATTTGGTTGTCCGTAGCGATTTCTTTTTGTGAAGCAGCTTTTTCTATTGTGTTCTAAAATTTCGAGCAACGGTTTTGCTTCAGACTTAGGCACAGTGCAACGGAAACTCTTGCTTGACATCAGCAGGCCTACGGAGATAGCGTCTTGTAAAGAGCCCAGGTTTTTCGGGGGTTTAAGGCATTTTCAGAAGGGAGAGAGTCGATTCAAGATGAATCATGCAACTTTTTTCTCTTCCCAAATTTGAAAAATCACCTCAAGGGAGCTCATTTTGGGACAATGGAAAACACTCAAACTGCTGGAACCGACCAGCAGAAGGCTATTCCAGAATGTGAGTTTCAGCACTGCTATGAGGAGTGGAAGAACCGTCACCAGCGCTGTGTAGCTCCAGAAGGAAGTTATTTTGAGAGTGATAATATAAAATTGTAATTATATTTGGATACAAAATTTAAAAAAAAAATCCGTCTCATTACTTAGTTTACAGACATCGTATGAAGTTTTAGTTTTACCAAGGTATCAATTTTATTTAATGAAATAGCACCCCCTATATTTTATTCTATTTTCAGATTTTACAACAATTTTCAATGTATTTAGTCCTTACACAAGTATATGTACAACCGGTGTGATGTTGGCAGACAAAATTTAGCGGACAATTTGCCGAATGACCAGTGGCGTCGACATCCTCGACCAGACTGTGATTGTGAAGGATACAGCTAATAGCTCGCAACAATAAATATATATATATAGACGAGAATAAGCACCCCTATAGGAAGAATCAGTTTCCACCCCAATTAAATAATTCGCAGGAACAAGACTTAACCCAAAATCTTTCTTCGAATTTTCACGTACAGAATATTGTATATATGGTATTGAAAGTAATTAATGAGCTAAATAGCATATACTGAGAAAATCTCTAAAGTGGTGGGGTAAAAAAATAAATTAAACTTCATTTTCACCCGCAAAAAATGATTACCCAATATCTCAAAAAATACTCTATTACAGAGACAATTATAGGCCAGGTGGCATAAGCAAATGATTCCTCAAAATCAGTTGTACCTCAAAAAAATACTCTATTATAGAGACAATTTATAGGCTAGGTGGCATGGTGTGAGAAAACTTCTGAAAGGCTGGCAGATAAAAAAATATGTTTATAAATTCATTTTGCACCCAAGAAATGATTCTCCGAAATCAGTTATACCTCAAAAAAATAATTCATTATAGAGACAATTTATAGGCTAAGTGGCATGGTGTGAGAAAGCTTCTGAAAGGCTGGCAGATAAAAAAATATATTTATAAATTCATTCTCACCCCCAATGAAATGATTTCCCAAAATCAGTATTACCTCAAAAAAATACTTCATTATAGAGACAATTTATAGGCTAGGTGGCATGGTGTGAGAAAGCTTCTGAAAGGTTGGCAGATAAAAAAATATGTATATAAATTCATTTTGACCCCCAAGGAAATGATTCCCCAAAATCAGTTATACCTCAAAAAATACTTCATTATAGAGACAATTTATAGGCTAGGTGGCATGGTGTGAAAAAGCTTCTGAAAGGCTGGCAGATAAAAAAATATGTTTATGAAGTCATTTTCACCCCCAAGGAAATGATTCCTCAAAATCAGTTGTACCTCAAAAAATACTCTATTATAGAGACAATTTATAGGCTAGGTGGCATGGTGTGAGAAAGCTTCTGAAAGGCTGGAAGACGAAAAGATATGTTTATTAATTCATTTTCACCCCCAAGGAAATGGTTCCCCAAAATCAGTTGTACCTCAAAAAAATACTCTATTATAGAGACAATTTATAGGCTGGGTGGCATGGGGTGAGAAAGCTTCTGAAAGGCTGGCAGATAAAAAAATATGTTCATAAAATGCAATTCACAAACATATTTTTTTATCTGTCAGCCTTTCAGAAGCTTCCTCACACCATGCCACCTAGCCAATAAAATGTCTCTATAATAGGGTATTGTTTTGAGGTACAACTGATTTTGGGGAATCATTTCCTTGGGGGTGCAAATTAATTTATAAACATATTTTTTTATCTGCCAGCCTTTCAGAAGCTTTCTCACACCATGCCACCTAGCCTATAAATTATCTCTATAACAGAGT